TATACCCCAGCTAGGATCAAACTTGCCACCTGGGTATGTTCCCTGACCGGGAATTGAACCAGTGACCTTTCGGTGCATAGGATGGTGCTCAACCAGCTGAACCACTCCAGCCAGGGCAAAATAGAAGAATTTTAAAAGAAACATTTAAAATCTACTGAAGTTACTGGGTTGTGCCTTGAGTACTATTCTCACAGTAACTTTCGGTATTCTGCCGTTTAAGTAAAAGGATTTTGGAGGTGCATCTGGGGAGTTTTGTAGCAAGAGGTTTCTACTTCTTGAAGTGCTGATGGATGAAAAACAACTCATGCTTTCCATCGCGCACAGCCAGGCTCTCTGAGGTCATACGGCTTGGTTTCAGTCTTACGGAGCCTGTGTTCCACAAAGATCAGCGGGTTTCCAAAATGCTACTCTCCAGGGATTGATCACATTAGCCTTGTTGAATTCAGCCTTTAGAATACTGTGTTTTAAAGCCCATGGTAGCTCCTAGAGTTAATAGGTGATAGCATTACATTTTATTAGAAGAAACATGGAAAGAATCTTGTTAAATATTAACCACATTATTATAAAACTAGAGGCCGGTGCACAGAATTCGTGCATGGGGGCGGGGTGTGTCTCTCAGCCCAGCCTGCATCCTCTCCAATCTGGGACATCCCTCTCACAATCCAGGACTGCTGGCTCCCAACTGCTCGCCTGCCTGCCTGCCTGATTGCCCCTAACCTCTTCTGCCTGCCAGCCTGATCACCCCCCTAACCACTCCCCTGCCAGCTTGATCACGCCTAACTGCTCCCCTGCTGGCCCCATCACCCCTAACTTCCCTCCCTTGCCAGCCCTGTCGCCCCAACTGCCCTCCCCTACAGGCCTGGTTGCCCCCAACTGCCATCCCCTAAAGGCCTGATTGCCCAAAACTGCCCTCCCCTGCTGGCCATCTTGTGTCCACATGGGGGTGGCCATCTTGTGTGTTGGAGTGATGGTCCTCCCACCCCCCAACTCTCCCCAGCCTTCCCGCTGTAGTTTGACAGTCTGTTCGATGTTGCTCTGCCTCTGTATTATATAGGATGAAAAAAAGTATGCACATAGTTACATTTCACAAATCCACTAACATTTTCACATAGCTTAATGTTTTGGCATCTCAGATGATATCAAATGGTAACACATTTGCTCCAATTCTGAAGAGCAGTAGTTTTAGAAAACCGGGTGGTTTAATGAAGTTGCCCATTTTCCCAGAGATTCTGGTTCTTGGTCATGAGGGGGATCTGGAAACCAATGCTGTGTGCCACTTAATTTTTTATCCCTTCTCCTTGAACTTATCCCCTAGCCCAGTGGTTCTCAACCTTGGCTGCACATTAGAATCACCTGGGAATCTTTTTAAGATTCTGATTTCTGGGCCTCATCCTCCGGAAATTCTGTTTCTTTGTTACTAATGTTGTGGCCCCAGCCCATCACAAAGAAACAGAATTTCCAGAAGATGAGGCCCAGGAGTCAGGATTTTAAAAAGATTCCCAGGTGATTCTAATGTGCAGCCAAGGTTGAGAACCACTGCCCTAGCCAGTCCTCCAGCATGAGACATCTGTGCCCTTTGCACCTTTCCCTCTGTGCCTCCTTCCTCTTGGCCACTTCACTGGGGACAGTCCAGGGATGTTCCCTCCTCTGACCTGGGAGGGACTCCCTGTGCTGCCGTACTTGGTTATTAACCGGAGACGTGCACTGTGTCTCTCCAGTGTACATATTTCTTTTATATCTTTGACTCTCAGCTGTTTGCTGGTGAAGAATGTACTTTATTATTTTTATTATTGTTTTTTTTTTTTACAGTGATTAGCACATTTTTCCCCCCAAGAATGTACTTTTTTTTTTATTGAAGCTAGCCATAATGGCAGGCTTGCTCCAGAATCTGAATGTCCTTTGGATGTTTGTGGCCCGAGTTCCCCAAGGGCATATGGACTAGAGGCCTAGAAAATGCAGGTTGCTATCCTGTTTGCACATCCTCAGAAATGTGAATTGTCCCTGAGTGACCAGTCTTTCTGGTCTTGAGGCCTGCAAGGGGGAGGGGGAAGGGAGAAGTATTGGTGATGGTTCTCTCTGCAGGACTGGAGGAACAGAGGAGCCCCATCAGTTTCTAGTCAGTTTCATCCAGGGAGTTGGGACCCCTAAGCCCATTTCTTTGAGAACACTGAAATTTCCCAGATCTTTGTAATTTATTATTCTCCATGATGACTAACAATAAAATGTTTACGAAGGGCGACCCCAGGGGCATTTAGGAGATACTGCCCCCTTCTCAGACAGGTTTCGGTTGATGGTGGCAGCTTTTAAGGATGAAGGAATGTGCCTCTAGTGAAGTATTGGGGGCGAGTTCTCTAGGGGGCATATGAAGCTGGTGTTCTTAGTCTATTCTGACACTGAATGTGGTTCTGACAGCAGATGGCTCATGCGGCTCAGTAAAGCCAGTGTGACTAAAATACAGCGTGTGTGCTTTCCTCTTCACCCTTTTTAAAATCTGGATTGCTAATTGACTGCAGGTTGGCTACTATGAAAGTACTGTTAATGTAACGTGTAATTGGTTTAGTTGGTGATATATGCAATGGGTGTTTGTGTTCTAGAGTTCATCCCTTGCATGGACAAGCTGTTTGATGAATCCATACTAATTGGCTCAGGATATACTGCTCGAGAGACGCTCAGGTATGAGATTACACCCACGAAATCAACTGATGAAATGTGAGGGAGGGGTGATTTCTGGCACTTTATGCTGCAAGCGTTTCAACAAGCACTGGCTGTTGGGCCCTCACTCTCACTGAATTTAGAATTGCAGGAATTTTTGAAATGCCTTCAGTTGCTTTTTGTGCTTTAGCTTAAAGGGAAAGATCAGAGTAATTTAGATTTTAACGTAGGTATAACTTTATCTGGCTAGCATTCCTTTTTTCCCCTTTTTGTTTTATTTTTGCTTCCTATATAATAAATCTTTTCACTATAAAATAATATTTTATAACCTACCAAGAAGAAAGAAGGGAAGAAAACTTTTTGGTCCTGCTCTAGGAGCTCAAGTAACACAAATAATATCTTGATGTATTTCCTTTTAATTTTTATGTTAGGCATTTTAGACAAATGTAGTTATGATCATGTTTATTGTTTCTCAAGGAGAAAATTAACATTTAGTCATCTTTAAAATGTAAAATTAGTCAACAGTAGTAATTTTTTGGCTTTAACAAGCGAGGTGTGATGGATCTTTTGAAAAACATGCAGTACACTATGAATATGATATAGACCATTCACCGTTTTCTATAGAAAAGTTATAAAATAGCAAGTAAGACATTCTCTATAACTTGGGGTTGAACCTTCCTGTTGGACATTAGATCATGTCAGTGCTGCTGGAAACTCTCCAGTGGCTTTCTGTTGCCATTAGACAAAGACAAAATCCAAACTCTGGTTTTTTAAATATATTTTTATATTTTAGAATGGAAGGGAGAGTGGGTAAGAGATAGAAACATTGATGATGAGAAAGAATCATTGATTGGCTGCCTCCTGCACACCCCATACTGGGGATCAAGCCCACAAATCAGGCATGTGCACCAACCAGGAATCAAACTATGACCTCCTGGTTCACAGGTCCACACTCAACCACTGAGCCATGCTGTCTGGGCAAAACCCAGACTATTGACTGTGGTGTGCAACTCCCGTGGGATTTGGCTCTTCCCTCCCCACTCAAACTGCTGTAGCCACACTGGCCTCTTAGCTCCTTGGCTATTCTAGGCTGTTCCCATTCAGAGCTTTGTCTTCCCTGTTTCCTCCATCTGGAAATGTCCTTAGCTTTTTGCCCCAAGGCTGCTTTTTGACCTTAAGGTCTTAGTGTCAATGTCACCTCAAAGAGACTTTGTCGGGCATCCTATCTTAGAGTGGTTTTCCCACCTGTCTTTCTTACAGCGCTCTTTTCACATCTCCCAAGCACTAATCAATTTATATACTTTATTTCTTTACCTGTGTATTTCCCCTCCTGAAAATAAGCTTCCTGAGGACAGGGTTTCTATTTATCTTTGTCACTGTGGTATCCTTGGTGTCTAGCCCAATATCTGGCAGGTGTCCAATTGTTTAGTGAGTGAAAGCACTTTATAACCCTGACGTTTCTGTCTCTATAAAAAGGCCCGTATCAGGTAGGGCAAATGTAGGTTTACAGTTGTTCTTATGGGAAGTAATACAATAATTAATAAATCGTAATACAAAATAAACTGTTTTACATACTTGCAACTATAAACCTATTTTTGCCCTGCCCTGTATATAAGGTATTAGTTGATACATACTATTTATCTTTGAGCAACAAAATCCATTCAGTGCATAATTGAGCTCATGTTAATTCTTTGTGCTAGTGTTGCTATGACATGCATGAATTTGGAAAGTAAAGATTTAAACACCAAGATTAGAGTGTTAGCTGTGTAGCTGGGGAAACTGGAACGCTATAAAGTGGTGATGGCGAACCTATGACACTCATTTTTTGGGTTGATTGTTCATTGTTAAATGGCATTTAAATATATAAAATAAATATCAAAAATATAAGTCTTTGTTTTACTATGGTTGCAAATATCAAAAAATTTCTCTATGTGACACGGCACCAGAGTTAAGTTAGGTTTTTTCAAAATGCTGATACGCCGAGCTCAAAAGGTTCACCATCATTGCTATAAAGTGTGCCCCAAACGTGCTATCCCAGTGGTGGTGTTCCTGGGCAGGTAGTGGTAGGGAGGGTGGCTTGGAGTTGTGGTCCTGGGGGAATGTTGAGATGCACACTAGCAGATGTCTCTTCCCACAGGCCCCTTGCCTACAGCACTCTGGCTGACCTCGTGCACCACGTTCGTCAGCATCTGCCCCTCAGTGACCTCTCCCTCGCTGTCCAGCTCTTTGCTAAGAACATTGATGACGAGTCCCTGCCCAGCAGCATCCAGACCATGTCCTGCAAGCTCCTGTTGAACCTGGTGGACTGCATCCGCTCCAAGAGCGAACAGGAGAGCGGCAACGGGAGAGACGTCCTGATGCGGATGCTGGAGGTACCAGCTCTCCAGATGGTCCCCGTGCTCTTTAATCCCACTTGCTGCTGAGCTTGTACCAGTGCTTTACTGGCAAGTTTATGGAGCCGCCAGTTCGCCTGGCGTGACCCTAGGCATTTGATCACTTTGGTTTACATCCCTGCTCCCCCATTAACTAGTCAAGTGTGTGTGAATGGGATGCTGAACTCTTCTAACCAGGGATGCTCGCTTTCTGTCGCATAGGGTTGTTATGAGAGACAAATAGAACAGCACATGAGGCCTCTGAGCACAGTCTGGCAAGGGCCCTGGGACACCACATAGCATAGTGCTCAGGTAGCTGAGAGCATCTCTGGCCAGGTGCCCAATTGGGGATGTGGGTGAGGGGTAAAGTGTGATGCCTGCTGCCAGCAGGCAGTTGTATGAACCATGGAGCAGTTTTTGTCCTGCCTGTCCGGCCAGTTGTCAGCTGTCCCGAGTGGGGTCTCCACTGGTGTAGTGGACATAGTGATACATTGATAGTTACCGGAGAGGAAAAATAGCACACTTTGTCTTATACAAAGCAGAATGATTTCAGCAGATGGTTTCAGCGAGTGTTTCTTATCTTGTCTTCTGATAGGGTTGTTGACCATTTTAAAAGAATGGTTTTTTTCTTATCTCTCCACTTTCTCATCCTGTTAGGTTTTTGTTCTCAAATTCCACACCATTGCTCGCTACCAGCTCTCTGCCATTTTTAAGAAGTGCAAGCCTCAGTCAGAACTCGGAGCCGTGGAAGCAGCTCTGCCGGGAGTGCCCGCTGCCCCCACAGCTCCGGGCCCTGCCCCATCCCCAGCCCCTGTTCCCACCACCCTATGCCGTCCTTTGAGAAGCAAGGAGAAAAGGACAAGGAGGACAAGCAGACATTTCAAGTCACGGATTGCCGAAGTTTGGTAAAAACCTTGGTCTGTGGTGTCAAGACAATCACGTGGGGCATAACGTCATGTAAAGCGCCTGGTGGTAACTATGCTCTTGAATTATTTAGACGAACAGTGTTTTGCAGAGTGGGTTTTATTCACATTGACTTATTATGCTATCTCTTTTCCAGAAGCTCAGTTCATTCCTAACAAGCAGTTACAGCCCAAAGAAACTCAGATTTACATAAAACTTGTGAAATATGCAATGCAGGCTTTAGATATTTATCAGGTAAGGCAGTGCCCTTAAGCCAGTCTATTGAAATTATCCCTTAGAATTAGAGATGTTAGTGATGGAACAGATCTTGAGAGTTCAGTTATTTTTGGGTGGTCTACAGTATTTTACGTCCAAGTTGCTTTTGTTCTGTAGCACAGCATTGAATTTATGGTGAGAATTTCTGTTTATAAGTCTCAGTGGGTATCTTTTGGGGGTCGGTGGTCCAAATGGAATGTAATAGAAATAAGATTTAAATTTACTAAATTTGTTCCTTTTTGGAACGCCTAAGAAAATCATTGTTTTTTTAAAAAAATGATTTTATAGCCCTGGCTAGGTTGGAGGGTTGTCTGTACACTAAAAAAAGTTGTGAGTCCCCGTTGGGGCATGTATGAGAGGCAACTGATCAATGTTTCTCCTTCACCGTCTAAAAATCCCTCTCTCTAAAAATCCATAAAAACTTCCTTGTGTGAGGGCTAAAAAATTATTTTCTAAAATTAAACTAAGAATAGAGAATTTGAAAGATTTCAGAGGGGTATTTATTACCTAATTCAAGTGCTCTGTTTTAAGTATGCAGCTAATCTGATTAGGTGATGGAATACTATATTCAGAGATGTTTGATTTTAATGCCCATGGTTTCTTTTTTTCCTATGTTAGGTCCAGATAGCAGGAAATGGACAAACATACATTCGAGTAGCAAACTGCCAGACTGTTAGAATGAAGGAAGAGAAGGAGGTATTGGAACACTTTGCTGGTGTGTTTACAATGATGAATCCCTTAACATTTAAAGAAATATTTCAAACTACAGTTCCTTATATGGTGGAAAGAATCTCAAAGAATTATGCTCTTCAGGTATAAAACTCCTTTCTTACATACTTTCAACATACATGAATTCTTGGTAGTCTGTTTATTTGGAGGATTTTCTAAATACTGTGTGTAAGAATGTGCTTTTAGAGCAAAATTTAGAGAAATATAGAATTTCCCTCTCAATATATCCCAAGAAACCAGAAACACCAATCAGAAAGGATATATGCACCCATA